CAGTATAATCAATAATGACGACGAAGATTGCGAGCCTTATAAAATGTCAGAATTTCCAATATATTTTGTGATTTTTATTAGCAATAGTTTAAAATTGCACTGAGAAAAATTTTATATTTTCYCTTCGTTTAAACCTTAAAATTGAATAATACCATTTAAAATCGTTATCAACAAGAAGTCGAGGAATTGGATAATGTGATTAGGTGAGCTATACAGAAAAATGAGTAAACAAATATGATAAAAGGTCAATAAATAATATTTTACAATAATTGTTTCAAATTTATTGCTAACAGATGTTTTTTATTTTCCCTATACATAATAATAATAAGATCAGTAATTATTTATCATACAACAATATAAATTCTACAATATTCATAAAAGCACGTATTATAGCAAGGAAACAACACTAAAAAACTAAAAACTAAAATGTATCATTAATTTTTATTCGTCGTGCAAATATAATACTTATATTAAATTTTATTCTATAATATAATATGTATTATATATAATAGTTAAAAAATAGTAGTAATAACTTATAAGAAATACAAGTAACCAAAGCTTGTAGTATCACAATGTGGGCAAAATAATTTTTAGAAAACAAAATGTACACAATACATCAGGCTAGTAATATATATATATATATATATATATATATACCGTTTATTATAAATATATTGTACAAAAAAAAAAAATGAATAATAATAAATAAATAAATAAATACATACATAATGGGAAATGAAAAGTTAATTTCTCAATATTTATCTAGGTATCATTATTTAATTTTATATATTTTTTTAAATAATTAATTTAAGATCTTTAAAAATTTGTTTAAAAATTTGTCTAGTGTTTCTATTAATTTGCTTTATAAAATTATTATTAGTCTATTCGATAGATGGAAAAAAAAATTATATAAAACAAAACAACGTCCCTAAGTCCTAGCACAATAACACTATTCTACTGTTCGGAATCAGTCTCTGAACAAACTCATCTAAAGCATTTCAAATTAATCTAAATGACATAAAATGCGAGCTGCGCGTTAAGGTCACGGGGACATTTCTATTAATGCGGGTAATTAATATTAATTCATTACTACGATGATGTCCGTACATAATATATTTAACGATATTACAATGTCGAACAAACTTAGCGTCGCTGTTGGTGTACCGTACTGATTCTTACTAATTTAGTCTGTCGGACGGCGTAGGTAATTTACAAAAAACAAGTACGTCCAGACAATTACACTCGAAAAAATTATACAGCACGCGTGTCGCATTTGTTGAACGAAACTGTTTCTAAAATCGAATATTATGGTTCGTTCTAGTAGGTATTTATGGATCCGAAAACTTAATATCATTATAATGTTCTGTTATATTTGATTTTTTGTTTTTGCTATTCAATAAAATACGTATAAAAAAAATGTCGTCTATATTCGATTTCCTTAAATTAATTATTTCRATACGTATAATAATAATTGCTTATATATCGATTTAATTTAAATATTTATTCTTATACGCTATTGATAGATTTGGAATGCATTCGCAAAATAATAAAATAATCGTTAAATTTTAAAATTTAGGCTAATGGAACAGATTATTAGGTGGTATTAATATTTTAATAATAAATCATAATAATTACGACTCAAAACTTCTGTGGAATAATTCATAATAAGTTATTATTAATAACATATTTAAAAGGGAAATACTAAAATAAGTTTTTATTTTCAGATAGGTATCACGGAGTAAAGTTGGTTAAAGAGCTGCCAGTTGCTGATGAAACGCATTTTTCGGTTTTTGGTAAAAATGAAAAATTACCATATAGTCTGTTTAATCAGTAAGCGTTTTTACTACACTTTAAAATATAACACAATAGTGGTAGAAAACAGGGGGAGATTAGGCCTTGGGTTTTCACTTCAGTGAAGCACATTAATCCATTGAAACGTCAAAACGCTGCAAAAGATTGTTGATTAATTGAAACCTTTACACTATCTTATTTTTCGGAGTTGACACCGCCATCGCAGTTTTTAATAAATTCGTCGACCTAGGGAGGCCCCCTTGAATTGAGATCGGTTATAATATGCAGTGGTAKGTTTTTCAAAACGTAAAAAAAACCATAAAAAAATTGTATTATTCAAATAATTAWTGTTGTGGACAACCGAGGAAATGCATTATATTATATTATTCCGTATGTACTGTGCCTTGTAACATTTTGGTGATGGCTGATGGRGAGTTTAATTAATAATAAACGATTTCTGTTCGATAACAATTATTACACACAAACGTCTTATAAGAGATCACAGAACATTTTTCTAAAATATTAATAATTACAATTATTATTATTGTTGTTACAATTTATTGTTATTAATAATTTAGAATCTATATAATCTATAATTACTTATAATAATGTGTACCTATATGTATATAATGTGGAATATTAAAGTATCGTAAGTTAAGTTTTTCACGTCATAAACATTAATAAAACCAACAATCAAATTGAACGTGCTAGTGTAGTCGGTACATAATATATCTATATGTATTATATTATATATATTTTATAAAATTAAGTTTGAATTGCTACTTATTTAATTTTACTATATTATGTAATTAATATTATTATTATTATTATTATCTTCGAAGCGTTCAAATAAGAATGCTATGTAAGTTTTCTACTATATAAGTATTACACTTTCGTATAAAATTACAATGAAAAATATATATAAAAAGTATATAATATATTTATGTATGAGGTAAAATTAGGTTATACGCGATTGTATATAATATACACACATACAGTGGCGGTGTGAATAGCTATTTTATGATGCGACTGCGTCCAAGATCTAGACTGCTAGACTATTTTATACTTTATACTCACSTGGTCACATTTTAAACGCAGATCATAAATGTGAAAAGTTAAATACTAAGTGTGAACAAATTAGTGGTTGGGAGCTTATTGAGGGTAGTTGCTTCATAGGGGGAAAAGTTCAAGTTGCCACTGCACACATGTACACATTATACAATACCTACTAGATACGCGGTTAACTGTGTGCACACGAAATACAAAATTAGCTACAAGTTAACTGTGATAGGTATATTGGATTTATATTATTAATTATTATGTATGTAATAGTCTATAGTGGCGATATATAGTGCGTTTAATTACGAATGCCATTGGTGAACGCAGCGCAAATTTTTTGGGGGGCAAAAACTTCTCCCCCCCCCCACCAGAACATAAACATTTCAGTAAAACCAGAAAAAAAATATACAAAATTAAAGTCGCATTAAATCACAACGATACAAGAATCACGGAACTACCACCACCATCACCTCAGCCTGAAATGATTTCCAGCACCCTATATGAGCGTATGCCGCGCGTATTATACGATATAATATCATAATCACGTGATGGTATAGTTACCTGTTTAACGTTTGCGTTTTGAAAACATAAATAATATTATAATATTATCGAAATGAATGCAAAATCGATGATATCAAATCGCGAGAATGCTCTATAATATCTACAACTTACTGCATACCGTATTTTCGGGTTCGTCGTCGGCATGTCGTCCGTCGGAAAATTGTCCGTCGCATCCTWCGATCGTCAAATATATTATTTTTTATTTGATAATATCTTAACTCCGATCTATGCGATAATTTCCACAGCATTTTTCCCATGTTAATTCGTTTATTATTCGTACATCGTTTTACGGCGGCGATGAAACCTAATGAAATTCGTTACTTCGGGCGCTGTGGAAAATAAAAATGAAAAATGCTAAATAGACCGGTCGCCCCGTTACCGTAATAACGAATTCAAAAGGCGTGTCTGAGTTTCATTTTAATAAAATTACATTTATTGTTATCATTATTTTAGCACTGCCGCGTTGATAATAGGATTATCTATTGGCAGAAATCCGTGGATGAAACGGTGGCAAAATGGACGTGGACATATTTCTATTGATCGCATATGGTTCAAATTTTGCTGATCACTGTGTCGCAGGCCGCAGCAACTATAAGATCAGTCATGTTTGTTGTATTTAGTATAATTGTATACTAGTACGGCCAAGTACAAAGGTAGTATACCTATATGGCTATATATACCTATAAAAATTATAGTTAACAAAACATTTTATATGAAACTCTCATTCGGAAATATTATGATTAAATCATTTTTTAGAAATATTATAGAAAATTCCTATTCAATTTTCTCATCAAAACCTAAAAATAATGCATTCATTGAGAACAGTGTCAGAAATGACAGTATCAAAAGATTGGGATTCTGTGATTTAAGAATCAACCAAAAAGAAAATTTGTGATGTAATTATCAATACAAAAAAATTTATTCAAATGTTGAATTGACAATAATGTTATTGAAAATAATACTTTACGATCTAAAAAAATAAAACTAATAAAGCAAATTATTAAAATTATTAGTGTGTGATGTTGTCCACCTCCTCGTGAGCGCACCCCTAGGGCTAATGTAGGTAATAAAAYGGGACGGACGCACATGGGCTATGCGATATGCAACATTGAGCTATGCAATCATTTTTGGTTTGGGACGCGTATACATCATATGCGTTTTTTATGGATCCGCTCGGAATATTATCCAAGTATTATTTTGAATTTGCGGGGGGTAAGGGGTAGGCTAGGGTCGCGTGGCTTGGTGACTAGTGACTTTGGCGGGAAGCGATGGAAAATACGCGTAGAAAAATAACAAAACGATTTTAATGATGATGATAATAATAATAATAATAATAATATAAAATGAGTATGAGAAGAACAAGACGAAGAAAAGACGAAAAAGAAGAAGGATAAGAGGAAAAAGAATAATAATAGAAAAGATCGTCGAGCGAGGGACATATTAAAATATATAATATATACGCCGTGCACGCGTTGTCCCGCGTATACGTCACACATCGAAGTGACGTAATAGTATTACACTTTTCAAGTATATAATAATAATAATACATGTAAACGGTATACGCAGTGCTTGCGCAATCAAAATATAAATAATATGATAATAATTATATTATATCGTCAATGATAATAATAATAATAATTGCACGTGTGCGCGCGTACTCGTCCACTCTCGTTTCGTCGTTGCATTAGGGACAACCGCACTCGTCGATGACCATTTTGGGCAGGTCCCGCTTGATGATGTTACCGTCGTCGGTGAAGTATATGAGCGACATGGACGAGAACTTGACGGGCGCGCAACATGGCTGGAATATGGACGAATGTTTGGCCTTCCTGTAGTCCTCGATGGCCTGCGTGTAAAAGTTTAGGTACGTGTCCGGTGTCCTGTGCACACCGCCGCAGTCGCCGCGGCAGTAGTTTGCGTAGTAGCCGCCGGGCGCGATTATCCACGAGTCCCAACCGATGTCCTGGAACTTGATGTAGAACCGTTGCTTGCAGCACTGACCGCGTACCGCCAGCGAACAGTCCAGCGCTCGACGGCGCACGCGCCTCGCCACCGTCGGRTCCGTGTACACCATCAGGAACGGGTTCTCCCACTCGTTGGCCTGCCTGGTGTCGTGGAACAGCACCGGCGACACCAGCCCGCCACACCCGGAACAGTCGATGTGGAACCTCAACCGGTGTTTACCGCTGGACCCGTACCACTCGCGCACCGTGTTCGTCACGTCCACTGATATCCAGCCCAGGTTGTTCAGCGACAGTGACAGCGACGACGCCAGCGTGGCGTGCTCGTCGAATTCCTGTTCGTGTACGATATACAATATAATAAGCAATAAAATTATACAATAAAATATGATACCATATACCTATTATAGACTATATTATAATCTCTCTATAACATATACAAAACATACATTTCTGGCCAGTCAATACCTATTACCGACTGTGATTTGTTCTGTGCATTAACATCGAATTGCTTTTCGGCTGAGAAGGGTTGTACATATTATTATTATCGTATAAAACAAGTTTAAAAGTATACCATAATGTTAATGATTAAATAATATAATCTGATAATCGCAACTATTTCTATAGAAAAAAAAAATTAGATTTCGTAAATCAAAACGACATTAATGATTGTTTAGCCAGCACGCTAAAGAAATCGCATACGGTTTGAAAAGAAGCTAAGAACACGGATTCGATGAATTGGTATAGTAGTATAGTTTTTATTGAAATCAGTCAAAAAAWTTCTGAAATTAATCGTTTGTTGCAGTATTGCGTTTTCGTTTGTTTTAACGAAACTAATAGGTTTGGCCATGCATTATCGGGTAGGGGTTGCTCATAAAAAGTTTTATGGATTTAATCTTCCATATAATATTCAATTATAATATTACATAATGTTTAGTATTTCAACCTTTCAAATTACAGACATTAAACTTTAAGATGCAAAAGTACATCGACACGGGGGAGTTGAACAGTGAAGGGACCTGGTGGCCGAGCCGCCTATAGTATTCTAGTAATATTATTCCATGATGTAGGTATTAATACTTTCATAAATGTATGCTGTATTTACGACGCCACACGCTAACTGCAATGCAAACCGTTGTTTACGTGTATACCTAACGCCGCAGTATTCTCATTATATAAACTGCAGTGCGACTTAAGAGCGGTCTGATCGGATTATGAGACTAAAAAAACAACGAAGCTGCACATTTTAGTGCACACCATAAGTCAGCAATTATTATGATTAATGGTCCATTGTGCTGTGTGTTCAAAATTCGTGTGATATTAACACCGTGTTCTACGTAGATCAGACGAGTCCGATGATTTCTATTCCGATCATGCTGTTTCACTGCACTTCGGTGAGTCTGATACGGCAAACTGCAATAATCRTTATTTTGTTTTACGCGGATTCGTAGGATTTAAGTAAGACCCCCTGGTTTTGCACGCGTAAAGCTCCATCAAAACTCAAATCCCCCAACGACTTTGAAAACATGAATGTAATAATATTATAGTAATATTATATGTGAATTAATGGTTCGTATAATTTACCAMCCGTATCACAGACCACTTATAACTTTCATGGATGTAAAATCGAATTATCAAAAACAAACAGAATTCTGATCGAGTTTCCGCCGTTTCATACAGTCATAATATATAGGTACAGTATAACCAAAGTTGTGAACTTGGGAATTGACGCCGACGGTAATAACACTAATAACTATACACAAACATAAATATATTGTGAATTTGACCAATACCTCCCCCCCCCTATCGCAGAATGTGTTCAGACTTTCCCACGAGATCCAAAGAACCAGAGGCCCCTGCAGGTTAGATTCTATACATATATTACCTATGTGATTATCAATGTCGAGCTTTCACGTACATCAGCCACATATATTATTATACGACTTGTCGCATTTAATGTAATAATACGATGCGTGACGACGTAATTGCTCTGTCYCCGCGTTCCCTTGTTTATATGACATTAAGGCTTTTAAAATTATCCTAATAAACGTAAGTCGTATAATATATGTAATGTGCCTATGCGTTTACGCAGTGCGACTACGCGTTGGCAGATCGAGCGAGATGTTTGGCGTGACTTGCGAAGAAAATGYCTTAGACGAATATGTGRAAAAGAAACGCATCCGTTGAGAAATCACGTAGTAATAAGATCGAGCGGAAACGTGCGTATATTTTTATAATATCATACAGTGTAGACGTGTGTGAAATGCTGTCTCTGGCCCATGGGAGTCTGAGGACTTGCATCATTAAAGCAACATACGTACWGTGGAAGAGAAGAAAACCAAGACATTGGTAACTACGGTCTACGAGTTCAATATAATGTTATTATGGTGCACCTACGTTTAGTTCAGACGATAACACACGAGGTTTTTTTTTATGATTGATATAAATAATTTGTGTCGATTATCAAACCTATGGTACAAAATAAAACTATATACATTTTTAAATAAGTTATTTTCAACCATATAATATTATTATGCTTGCGGTACTGAATTGTCGCGTTCAAACACATAATATTACTATCATAATATATGTTATCCGCAATATATCATTCTGAACTCAACAATACCATATGTACTCTGAACACCCGTGGTGGTATGTAATTGCGTACACATTTTATTGTTTTAGGAAACATTATAGCGTTATTTTAGCAATCGCATTAAATTGTATGGCAAAAGATTTATTAGTACTTATTATATATACACTCTATCAGTTTGTTTGGGGTTAGACTAGGTTTTAGAGAACCTATTTGAATCATTTCCAACCGTTGTGAATTACACATGCATTGGACGATGTGATATTCTTTTATAATAATATGTACAACTACAATAATCAATATCTATGTACATTCGCAATAGATCATTGCTTAAGTATAATTATTATAATTTAATAGTGCATATTTAATACATGTATTTTGAAAATTCCAATAAAATTAATTATCTAGATATCAGAAAGATAGAAGAAATATAGAGCTTTGATTAAAAATAATCCACTCTCCTAAACTAGATAGTACTAATTTTTGAGATGAAATTGAAAATAATTTTAAGTAGGTAGGTACCTATATTGAATAAGTAAACATTTTTTTGATTTTTAATTATTACAGTGTCAACTGTCATTGTTAAACAAATATACGTGAATTCGATAATCTGAATTTCCTCTTAATTGAAGAAAATCAGAGGACTTACATAATTATGGTTTAAATTTCAAACGAGAATACAAAAAAATATGATTTATAATTCATAATATTTTTTAGATGTAGTTCTATATCAAATTGTTTTGTAGGAATTAAAACATTTAAAACACAAATCTTAGTAGTATGATAAAATAATTTCCTAAAATACTACGACTATACACTAATTGTAATAAATGTTATGTATTTTTTGCGAAACATACCTTACCACTTAGGAACGTGGTATTCCGCATTGGGTTCGTGCGGAAGTTTATTTTAAACAGCCACAGAGTTACATTGTGACTGTGATGGGTCCTACGCGCAGCCGGGGGAACGTCCGGCCTGTATTCTAACCTAAACCACAGCTTCGCAGACTTGACTTTTACAGAATCAGTGCTTCCCATATCCTGCGACCACGGGAATTCTAATAACGTTTGTCCGTTTAACGTTGATCCTGGAACAATACAAAATAAAACGTTAAATTATATAATKTAATAATAAAATAATATTGGAAAATCATCTTTACAAACGGAATTTGGTCTTTTAAATACAAAAAGTTATATGCGATCAAACATGAAACAGGCAATAATAAAATATGCATATTATATTATACAGTAAAAAAGATCAAGAAAGTCAAAAATTAATTGGTTGTCGATTCTGTTAAAGCGTATCACTTCATTGAATCATAGAAATTGTATTATTTTAAAGGTTAACTTTCAAGTTACATCGTTACATGATAATATTGTATTATGCAAGATTTTCAGAAAAATAATCTTACCACAATGAGTCACGTGGTATTATTTGAAATTTGTATTCTTCATTATTATTATATTTTATTTTATATTTTTAAACACTAGCTGTGCACGTGACACAACTGTTCTTCTTTATCTAGTCGATATAACGCAATATTATTACCTATTAACTTATTAGTCTCGAAACTCGGAAGAAATAATGACCAAGGTTACCATGGTTAAACAAACGTTATCGCCGAATTACAATAGAGCATAAACTAATAAACTATGATATAATGTTATTTATTTTTTCAGTGTTAGGGTTGACGTTGCTYATAGGTATGTAATATGTATGTCACAATACAATAACATTATTATTTTTTCATGATTCCGAAGAAAGATAACTTAGCAAAGACGACATGCTCGTAATTCTCTACAAACGAATAAACGCAATAAACGAAGTTCCGTTTTACTTAGCAGGAACWGTTTCGCATTATCCAATACTTGATTCGAAGACGACGTTTGATTCAGAGACCTAAACATTATACTCTTTATAGAGCCATACCGCCCTGCGTATCATCACCGGCAATTCACGAGGTTTCAAAGAATCGGACCGCGTCTATTGTATTTGATTCGTTTTTATTCTCAGCGGTTGTTGCAACTCGCGGGTAGGTTCTCGAAAAGTCGCGACTACCCCGCGTTCGTCTCCGGATAACATAAATATTTCGTATATTATTAATAAATATCATCGTCATCAGCGTCGTCGATTTCGCAATCGCCGTCGTCGTATTCGCCGTCGTCGTATTCGTCATCATCGTCGACGTCGTCGTCGTCGTCGTCGTCGTTTCGAGTGAGCACTATATAATAATAATAATAATGATAACATTATAAAATTTCATGTTACACGGAGACGGTTTTAAATGCGCCACGTCGATAAAATGTTTATCGTGCCGTTAAGACGCTCGCCGGTGTGTGCATGTGGCGATGGTCGTTACTCAAGACACGCGTGTCATTTTACAAAGTATTCGGTATAATGACAATAATATTATTATGATACACAATCGAAATTAAATTCGCTCCTGTAGCCTCGTCGGATTATGGGTGTTTGAATGATATAGTAATAATAATAATAATATACAATAAAATGCGTATAATAAGAGACCATATAATATTATTATTATTATTATTATTATATTACTCAGCAGACACRTGCGGCGCGTTATATGGGCGCTATAATAATGGGCAACGCAATCGCAGTTGCATACGATTATAATATTTATATAGCTGCATTAACATTATATGCAGGCTCGCCGATTTAAATACCGTGGTTTGCAAGCCATAAGGTTACCAGAATAACCATGTCATGTCGCAACTGTATTATATTAAAAATGTCACTGATGCAGTTGAGTAGACGGGTGAATCACCCAATTTGGAAATAGCCGCCGGTAAATATGTATACGAAAATATTGTCCAAATAATAATTAATGGCTGCGTACGAGTTGATTCCCGGGTACCTGTTTACCTTCACCGATACCGTTGAGTTGATTCCCGTGGGTGATTAAGAGGTACATATTATACGAGTTGATTCCCGGGTCATTATATATTTTTTTCAATGTTTATTAAAATATTTATCCTACTAGCATAACCCAAGAAACACCACTACGAGGAGGTTGGCTGACAAGTTTATCAAAAATGACAAAAATGTTGTTTTTTTTTGTTTTTTCATATTTTGAAAATCATTCAATTTTTATTTATTAATTATTTTTTGTATTATATTATATTTATTATTTATTATACAAATTATTAAAAACATTTAGTAATTAAGTAAATAAATAAAAAAATTTAGTAATTTAGTAAAAATGTCTATCTTATTGTTTTTATAAATTGGTATCTGCAAGTAATGAGATTATATAACAATAGGGAATCAAATCATACCATTCTCTTAATGACCCGGGAATCAACTATTACATAAAATAGGTCTCGGGAATCAACTCACCTATCCCGTAATTAATAGTTAGTAGTGATCACTGATCCGTATACCCTGCAGATCTCCATCGCTCGCAGAATGTGTTGAAATGTTGTTATATGATTCATAACGTCTAGCTAACAACAAGCTATAATGTTAAAAATGTCATAAATATAAAGGATATACTAAATTTAATTAAACTTTAAATTTTTTGCCGTAAGGGTTGAATAAATATCATGCATTACATGAAATAAGGCCTTTTATAAGTATTAAAACTACGTTAAGGATATATATATATATATATATATATATATCGGCATTTGAATTTTAAAATATCGAGAAAAAACAGTAATTATATAATCAAAAACAGAAAACGCTGCACAGACTTGTGTCACGTAGCCCGTCGGTRGCAGATGCGAAGTTCCGTATCATTAATTGTTTTTGATAATGCACGGAATAAAGTATTTATTTTTATCAATTAACATTATTTGTATCGTGTGTGTCTTGTATGGACAGTTATATTGGTAAAAACCAATTAAAAACASAACAATTTAGCACATTCAAAAACTGTACAGAGAAAATGAACAAAATATAATTTTAAATACATTTYGTATTATATTATCTCAATATCTCCAGATATCCTATAATATGGTAATGGTATTATATTTTACTAACGATATTCTATTCTAGGCACTATACGTCTTATGCTTGTACAGCAGTCAAAAAGCGATATCAAGAAGTTTGAGGCTTTGAGGGAGATACAAATTCKATTTAAATTATGATGTGCAGTTACTCGAGAACTGGAATTTATCAAAATGATTTTTTAGGGAAGTACAAAAAATTCAARTTGTCAATTTTTTCGAGTTATCGAGGTTCGAGTTATMGTGACTCGACTGTAATATTAWATAGTTTTATTTAGATGATTTTCAATAATCTGGACAATCACGCTGTATGGACTTAAATGTTGTGAACATTYTAAGAGATTCATAAAATARTGAATTGTRTATAAACTTCCAATTTCATTTAAATCTCATCAGAGTACCTATACCTATATTATTGTACATTTTAGAATTTTAAATAGAATAAATATGCTATAAGAAACACTATTTGCCGATAGGCGTGTACATAACCAACGGACAAAAAACCGTGCTCGATATAGGTCGTCCATCCGGTATACCGACGGAAATAAACGCGTAATTTACTAATACATATTATTATATGTWTGCACATAATAATATAATATTTTAAGTACACTCATCGAGACGACTGCACTAATATTGTTTCTACCGCCAACCGCKTCAGTGTATAGTAGTGAGTTTTATTTTCTATAGCAGTCCTATTTAAACATAACCAATATTATTTAAGTCCGATATTGTATTTCGATCAAACGAAATAGCATCGGTCGTCCTGTTTCAACGGTTTACTTTCAGAACCCGCGTCTTTGTCCGYGCGCGTCTAGACATTGTCTYGCTAATGGCTTGGCAATGTTGGTTTTAATGTTCGTCCTATATAAAGAGGTCCGGGGGACATTTAAACTAAACTGTATAACACAAAACGCGACTTTTATGAATATTCGTCGTAAATATACTATACGCTGCGCAATTATTTTGCCGTCTTCGATATGGGGACATTGGGAATATTTTCCGTTACGCCAGATAATATACGCATTACACACATAAAACTGTCGGCGTCTATTTAAATCGAACGCAAATAATTCAACGAGTCGGAAACGATTTCTATTTCACGTTTGCGAGAAAAAAAAATGAATGCCGCCGCGGGCATTGTATATACAATAATAAAAATAATAACAATAAATATATACTATATCATTGTGTTAGTATCGCGATGCATGCATCTCATTATCGCATAATATACAGAACAATATGATATTACGTTGAACGTCATTACATAAAATATTATTACAAAAACGGATCACGCGTCGACGTAGTTATACATCAGTAGGTAATAGGTATATTAATAATAATATCACATGACAATAATTTAATATKGGATTGTTCAAATAACACGATTTTCCATGATATTAATTTTATTTTATTATTCGTTTAGAAATATTACAAATAATTTCGATGTGTTGTTATWATTTATTGTTACAGGACGGTGGCCATCACGACGGAATCATTTATAACATATTATAGGTAGCACACTACGCGCGCGACGTGAACAATTTATTTTCGTACGCTGTAGGCTCTGGGTCAATATAATAGAGTTTATTGACCTAATAGTAATTACCAAAATCGAAAGACGATACGTTTCTCTATYATTATTCAGTTGTAGGTATTTATATGTATTTTAAATATTTCAACAGATATGTGTTCAAAATAGTGCATATAGGTGTCTGGTATCTTACATGATTATAATATAGATTAATGCATTCAATCATTGACATATTACAGGCCACGGGGATATTCAAAGAAAAAAATGTTCGATACTTTGATGCTATGYATTTATATATACGACGATTAACGTTCTCTTAAACGTGCATTTGTTAATGCATTTGATATATTGCCTTGATAGCCCCGCCTAAATAGAGTCCAATAAATTGTTAGGGAGTTCCTACGATTTTTATTATCTGTTATCATTTTATCAACGGTTATTATGAAYAACGTGTAAACAAATATATTTTTATTCTTTTATTTTATCGACATACTTAAAATGCTTATATGCAATAATTTTATAAATGCAATAATTTTATAATACTTAAATAAATGTCAACATTATGTATGCTTAACTCTATTC